GAAGGACAAAGCCGCAGTCTCCCACATCAATGGCTACCGACTACGACCTTCTCTTATGAGGCATCAAATCCCCATCACCAGACAAAGGCTTCCCATCCTCATCGAAAAGACGGTATAATGGAGAAGGCAAGGTTTCCACGGCCGAAGCTTCCGCGGCTGAAGAAAGGACAACCACTGGAGAGACCGGGGCACAAACTGAAGCAACCTCCGTCGAAGAAGGGACCGAGGCACGAACATAAGTAGCCACAGTCGAAGAAGGGGCGAAAGCCGAGGACGCAGTAGCTTTCGACCTCCTCGAAGATCCCATGACCGAAGCTAGAGAAAATACAAGGAAAGGGAAAGGTCAGCAATAGTAAATAAAAAGAGAAAGAACTAAGACACAAGTGATAAAAGAAACTCACCAGTCGAAGGGTGAGCATGCCCAAACTTCTTGAAGAAACCTGAACACTCACGGATCCTTATGATGTGAGGGGGGAGCCGACCAACCCAGTTAGAAATGTCTTCGACCAAAGGAGGAGGCGAAGTCTTGCCTGCATAAGAAAAGGACAAGAGGTCAAAGCCCACGACCAAGCACGGGAGAAAAAACAATTACCAACATACAATGAAATTAGACACTTACGAGTATAATTTCAAGCCTTAGGAAAACCGTCGAAGTTGGCCACCACGTCCTCGGTTCTGACGAAGAAGAAGTTGAACCAGAATTGGCGGTTAGCTTTGTCATCCATCTTCACTACCAAGCATTTGCCTCCTCGATGGTGAAGGTTTAGCATCATTCCCTATAAAAGCTGGGGGCGAACAGATGTATCAAATGCTGAAGAGTCAGTTCGACCTCGGCTAGCTCGAAAATTTGGTAAGCATCATTATAAGCTTATAAACGTACGACGCAAGCTGAGCAGGACAAACGCCGTAATAACGACATAGTTCCTCCGCCAACGGAAGAAAAGTGAGAGTATAGCCAACTTGGAAGGGGTAGGCATAGAAGGCACAATACCTAGGACGGTGGACCTGCACCGTATCCCACCCAGCCGAGATTAATTCAACGTGATAAAGAAGGCGGGACTTAGTCTTGAGCTCTCCCAATTCCTTCTCCATCATCACTGACCGAAAGGCCCAGGGTCAGCATCAGGTAAATTGGAGAAATCAGATCTAGTATTAGGGTTGCGAGGAATTATCTCCTCTACCAATGGGAAGCTTCCATCCTCGACAACGACGAGAACATTCTCCTCGTGAGGAGGAAACACCATCACCAAAGGGATCGCATCACTTCCCTCACTAGACTCAGAAGGCATGTTAGACATGTTTTGAAAAATGAAATAGAAGTATTAAACGATGAAGAACTGAGAACTATGCAATTCGCTGGGACAAAGAGAGAGTTTTAAAGCAAGGAAAAAGCAAGAGAGAAATATAAGGTTTCGAAACAACAGAAAACTTAAAACTTCAAAATCGCACCCAAATACCTCTATTTATAAGGATCTTGGCACAAAGACCGAAAACGGTTCATCATTACTAGCATCGGAACTGAAACGGCAGGTTCCATCAGGGGTCACACACGAAACAAAGCAACACATCGGGAATATGCGTCATAATGACGCATGACGTCATGATGTCATCCTAATCCGTGGATAGCACAACTCCTACAAATCGACTGGGAAAATCGAAGCGTTTGAAATGAGCGGCCCGCGTAGGGCCACGTTGCCAGTTCGCCGTAACCAGCACGACCTGTACAACTCGTTCGATTGTTACGACCACAGCAAAAAAATCCACTCATCGAACCCCCCTGAAGTCAGCCTCAATAAGCGGAGGGACTAACTGTATGGGTTAAAATATATATATATATATATATATATATATATATATATATATATATATATATTTATAATATTTAAGCCAAGATAATACTAAGGGAAGAGTTCCCAAGTCGTTCTTTGTCAAAATGGCCCGAGAAGCGGCGAAATCTGTGGTCGAAGAGTCAACGAGAGTCGTAGTCGAGGTGTCAACAAGGGCCGAGGTTGAGGTCGAGGCTGAGTACCGTTGACAGAGCTGTAACGTCTAGTTTTCAAGATAGGATACTAAATTTATACTATTAGGGTTTCTTAGGAACATGTATCATATAAATAGAAAAAGAGACAATGATAGGAGACATGTGATATTCATTTGTAAAGAACATAGTTTGACTTAAAGACTCGGTTTTCACTTGCTAAGATACAAACATCACCTTATCAGTGAGATTCTTGTCCATACTTTTCCACTTGATCCGAGAATAACTCGAATATTCAAGGGATTGTTTATCATTCGTCATTGTCAGGAAGAACACCCATTTATTCCATCTTTTCTTGGGTGACTCATTCCCTCTATTTATTTAAATATCATTTATTGCTAATCATTGTTATTAAATGCAATACTATCATTTCTGATTTGTGAATGCTTGCTATACATCACCGTTACTGACCGACCACATTTGTGTCATATTTATTTTCTCTTTAAGAGTCTTATCTAAGGATATTATTATTAGCTAAGATTAACCCTTATTTACATAAATCTAATTATCTGAATCAAGATCTATATATTTTTGGTCAAACAGTTCTAATTTTGATATGATGATTGCTCACTCTTTCTGGTGTGTTTCATTGGCATCAGTACTGTGCTTCTACTAATTTGTTTATAGGAATATCACAATTTAGCCAAATCGAGATGTTAGCGCCCAAAAAAAAAACGATGCTCCTCCATCAATCTTACTAGGCGTTTGGCCATAAGTTTTGAATTTTTTTTTCAAAAAAATATTTTAAATATCTGTTTGTTTTATAGAACTAATCTAGTTAATGAATTGTAGAAAATTAAAATTTCAAATTTCAAATATAGTTTTAGACATTTTTTTGGGCCAAATCATGACAGTTTGAGACTCTTTAGCTGGAAAAAAGGACATGTCAAACCTTGCAAAAGGCCAACAAATTCAACACGTAGGATCGGCTCTAAAAGAAAAAGACAAACATTGGGATGGAACAGTTCTCCTATTTCTTTACCCATTTCCTTAATGTGTCCAAAGGAATCTGGTTCACTCTTAACTGTGTTTGACAACACAGAAACCGAGATGAATGAAACTACTGCAAGTTATATATTATAGAATATACATATAGTAAGTTAGAGGTAGGTGATGTAAACCTCATTACTTTCATTTAGTTAAGTGCATTATCATTATCAAAATAAAATAAAAATATAATATGTAATTCCTTCATTTTAATTTATGTAACTTATTTGACTGCACAAGGAATTTAAGAAAAGAGAAAAGACTTTTGAGCTTATGGTGTAAAATGAAGCATATATATTTTGTGTGTCTATAAATTATTGCAAAAAAGTAACGTGTTTCCAAATGAGGAAATTGATCATTTTTTTTGCAAGGACTAAAAAGGAAATAGGTTCACATAAATTGAAACAGATGAAGTGTTAAATAATAATAATAACAATAATAATAATAATAATAATAATAATATAATAATAATAATAATAATAATAATAATAATAATAATAATAATAATAAATAATATACCAATAATAATAGAAGTTATCTACTAAGTGTAAAGTATATTTAGTAGGTTAATGAAAAATTATTTGTTGTAGATCAACTTAATTTGATAATATAAGACAAATTTTACAATGTCAATTTAATGCAAGTAACATAAGATCGAGTAAATTTATGGGTGGTCATTCAACTTTGTGTTTATTTACCCAAAATTCATTTTTCTTTTTTTTGTGTTAAGTAAAAATCATTCAATTTTGTGTTCATTACTTAAAAGTTATTTTTCTTTCTTTTGTTACACAAAAATTATTTTACTTTGCCCTAATTATCACAAAAGTCACCTTGGCCAAATTTTATAATGCTTCTACTTGAAAAGTCTATTATGCCCTTGATATTATATAAATCCTCTCATTTATGTAATACCTTCTATATTATATACTATATAGCATATTTTACCTAGGTATTTTATCTATAATTATAACTTAATATTATTTTATTTATTATTTTTATAATATATTTCTATATTTAATGTTCTTTTAATGTTAATTTTCAAGATATATTGGTAGCATTATTAAATTTGTCAGTAACATTACTGTGAACAAATCTCAAGTCAACGTCCTTGCCTAATTAAATATTTTTAATAAAAATTATAAAATCAAAGCTCACTGATTTATCAGCAAAGGCATATTCATTAATCCAATCAACAAAATACCAACATTTAACACTACACACCAAATTAACACTTTCAAAAAAAAAAAAAATTAATAGATATAACTTTTACAAAGCTTAATATTAAACACAAATATTTTTGAATTTTTTTAAAAAAAATAAATTACTGTCTATAAAAAAATTTGTTAAACAAATATGTTTTTATTATTTCAAATAAACTTTTTGTGTCGTTTTTATATTTTACAATATCTTCATGTTTGGATATGATTAAACAAATTCAGTGCCATGAAAAAATTAAATATATGAATGTATTATAATATAAAAATAAAGTGGTATAAAGTTAGTTAATTATAAATAAAATACCTAGGTGAAAATATATTATATAATATATAATATATAAGGTATTACATAAATGAGAGGATTTACAATATTAAGGGCATAACAGACTTTTCAGGTGAAATTTTATAAGATATTATTAAAGTGATTATTGTGATAACTATATCATAGTAAAATGATTTTTGCGTAACAAAAGAAAAAAAATGACTTTTATGCAATAAACACAAAATTGAATAATCTTTAATTAACAAATAAAAAAAAACTTTTGAGTAATGAACCCAAAGCTAAATGACTACCCATTAAATTTTACTCCATGACATCTAACATATGCATAGAAAATGTAGTAGTAGTCAGTAACTTATTTTTATACTATCGATGTAATAATATATTATTACTCGATTGTTCAGGTCTATCATGTTTGGTTTTCTTTTAAAAAGTTACTCATTATTGTATGTCAATTTAATCTTTCTTTTACGTCCAGAGATCAATTTAACATGATATAATAAAAAAAATGTATACATGGACATAGAAATGAAGCTTATTATATAATGTTATGGGCTGCCTTGGCAGATCATGTTCTCTTCCAATATCCTGTAGAGGCAAGCAGTCATGGAAACTCTGCGCCTCTGCTTCCACAATCTCTTATCCTTCTATCTCTCCGTCTTCGCCGCCGTTCTCCGTTTGATTCTCTCCCCTTTACCCTCCATCAAACGCTTCCCTATCTTCGTCCCTTTCATCGACGCTTACATTTCCCTTTTATTCCGCTTCTCCAATCTCTCCCCATGCACCCTCGATTTAGACGAGCACACCACTATCCACTTCTGGGCCCCTAATCATCGCCATTTCAATAAGCCTAATCTCGTCTTGATCCACGGTTACGGCGGCGACGCTAAGTGGCAATTCATGTACCAAGTCAAATCCTTAGCTCAATCGTTCAATTTATATATTCCGGACCTTCTCTTCTTCGGGAAATCGTATACGACCCGACCCGAACGAACCGAGGAATTTCAAGCGAAATGCGTAGTGGAAGGGTTAAAAGGACTGGGAGTGAAAAAGTGTTCAATGTTTTCTATTAGCTACGGTGGATTTGTGGGGTATAAAATGGCGGAGATGTATCCGGAAATGGTGGAGAAAGTGGTGATACTGAGTAGTGGAGTTGGATGCACGAAAGAACAGAAGGAGGAGCAATTGAAAAGGATAGGAAGAGATCCGGTGGAATTGCTAATACCAGCAAAACCGGAGGATTTGCATGCGCTGGTGAACATGTCAATTTACAAGTATAACCCTTTTAAGTGGGCCCCTGATGCTTTTCTCCAGGAATTCATCGATGTGAGTTGCTCCTTGTTGTTCAATAGTACAGCTAATCTCTTCCTTTTAAATTTTAAGTAACACTATTTCTTTTTAGTTTGTTGTATAAAAAATAATACTCCTACTTCATTTGTTTCAATTTATATGTGTTAATTTGACTGAGCAGCGTTTAAGAAAATAGGGAAGACTTTTAGTTCTTGCAATTTTAAATATGCCATGTCAAAAGTTAGAGTTAAAGAGTTAGTACCAAATATAGAAAGAAATATTCTTTTTTTAAGGAGTAATATTTTTAAAATTTAAAAATTGATTTTAAACTTTTCATTGTACTTTTAATGTTATGATATTATAGTCATACAAAACGTCATGCTATATTTGAATTTATAAATTTCAAAAGTTTAATTTTGTTTAAATTTCGAGTACAATTACATAGGTTCACATCAAGTGAAAAAAGGAGAACGAAAAAGGAGGGAACAGTATATTAGTCCAGCACTACACTTTTAATTGCCGAAAATGTGATGCAAAACGAATTCCGTGCATCATTCCAGTAATTGGTTTAGCAGTTTAGGTACCAAATTTTTGGTAATGAAAGTGTCGTTCTGGTATTTTGTTCCTACATGCAATTAGTTATTTTAAAAGCACTATAGGTGAGCATGTCAAATCGATTTCAAATTTATTTCATAAATCTAAAATCCGTCAAATCTACTGGAATACCTGAGTAGTTTCTTTTTTCTTTTTTCTTTTCCTTCATTTTTGTCCTTACTTTTTTTTTGGGTCCAAATTTGGGGGCCCCATTTCTTTTAGAAATAATATGTTTATAGGTATTTAAAATTATAATATCTAGTACTTAAGTAGAGTTTTTCTATAATAGTTGTCTCAAAGAAAATACATTTTTCAAAATTATAATTGATAAAATCCTACCTAAGATCAACAATGTCTCAAGAAAGACTAAATATGTTAGTTATACTATCAATTGAAAAGGAATTATTAGAGAAAATCAATATTAAAAAATTATTAACGACTTTGCATCTCAAAAAGCTAGAAAAATAGACTTCAAATAAAAATATATATTATCACATTCTTTTAAAGATTTAGGCCTCACATTAAAACTTTGGCTTTAGGCCACACATTTACTTGAGCTGCCCCTGCGCCCAAGCCCTAGCAGTAGTGCAATGCAAGGGCGACATGTGAAGGCCCAGGTAGCAAGCTACCTTGATGAACCCCTCCTAATTCTTACACGGATGAGACTGATCACACCTGATTAGTGAGAAATTCTGCCCCCTCCCAAAAAAAAAAAAAAAAAAAAATTAAGTTAAAATCGTGTCGGCCGATGGCATATTAGATACTCCTATTAAACTGGTAAGATCAATGTAACATATTAGCCATTAGAGGGCAGAAGGTTAATTGGGCACTAAAAAGTTGCCAATCCAAATGGAACTTGTTGGATTTTTCTGCACCAATATGAGTCATCGTTCAAGTCTTCAAGATTGCTGAGACCTAAAAAGTTTTTTTTTTTTCTTAAAAAGGTAATGTGCAGAAGTTACCTGAAGGAGAAGCAAGAGCTAGTGTACCACTTGTTGTCCGATCATACAGATTGCATATTGCCCATCTTAACTCAGGTCAAATTCCTCCTAGGACAAAATAGCAAAACTTTCTTGGTTGTTCAATCATTCTATTGACTGTTTACATAACCAGAAACAACTTTGTTGATTTGGTGTGTATAGGAAACGATGCTTATTTGGGGTGATAAAGACAGAGTTTTCCCTCTTATGTTCGGCCAACAATTGCAAAGGTACTTTGCTCTCGACTTTACTTCATGACCTTAAGTTTAAAGTGGACACCTAGACTGTTAATACTGAATTCATATATCTTAACTTGCAGACATCTTGGGCCTAGAGCGAAACTGGAAATAATCAAGAACACAGGACATGCAGCGAACATCGAATCTCCTGATTCAGTCAATGCTTTGATTAAAGCATTTATCTTGCAGCGTAACCAAGAAGAGGAGCATGTCAAGTTCACATGATACTTTCATCAAAGCATGGACATAAATGGTTGCATCTAGTTGACACAAAGGAATTAATCCTGTCAATGTCGATGTTACTAAGCTTATTTATCTGTTATTGCCTCCCTGTTTGTAAATTATTAACTGTTAATGGGACTTTCAAGTATGAAAAACTCTCGTACAAGTTATTAGACGAGATAAATAGCTTCAACCTTAAAGCATTCAGCTTAATCAGGATTAGTTTACACAATGTTAAACTATCCACATTGAACGAGCACATACGTCTAATCAATTTCTAGGGAAATACTAGATGATTTTTGACTTGTTGCCTCTGCAAATACACTAATCAGAATATTGTCTAACATGGTAGGCAGATACACGAGGAACTACACTTTTGATTACTTGACAGTTCATACATTCCTGAAACTAAAATTGAGTTACTCTACAATTGATTGGAATTTCAAATTCTCATTTGCATTGAGAATCTATCTTCCATAATGAACAGAATGAAATAGGCTGCCCTTTCCACCATAGATCAACACAGCCATCTCTCTCTTCCACTCTCATCTCCCAATTGCTATCATACTTCCTCAACAACGCCCGAGCCCCGTCAATGGCATCCTCTCCAAACGCTTCCTTCACAAATCCAACACTCCTCATTCTTTCACACCATTTCTCCTTCCTTTCATTCATTTCTCCCACGTTCGTCAGCGCCTTTGCTGCTTCTCCTTCCATCATCCTCCTTTCTTCGCTCTCACGTCCTTTGTACGCTACACTTGTGGAGTCCAAAAACCTCCATAAGTACTCTACTCGCCTTGAAAAGCTCGTCGCAAAGTCCCCGCAACTATTGCAGCTACACTCAATGTTATTCTCGCTGAGAACTACTCCTTTCGGCTCCAAATTCTTCAATATTCTCAACAACTCTGTCCTTTCATCGGGGTTACTGTGATGCAAATTGTGGAGTCTAAACTGAGCACATATGACTAAGGTTTCATCATCCGAGGAAGATTTTATGACTTGAGAGTTAAGATTCTGAAGAGGGAAATTGTCCAGTCTGTTGATCTGTAGATTAATGTTAATAGCCTTAGCAAAAGCTAGCAGTTGCGATGAAAAATTGTAACCAGCTGGGCCGATCACAAATGGGGTGCCTCTGAATTCTCCATTCTCAGTGGTGGGCGTAATAACCGTTAGTCGAACTAACGGTGGTGGCCCACCTGATCGTCGAGTCAGCTCTTCAAGAAGAGTTGGCCACTGAACGCCGTGAGAGACTCCAATATCAAGGATGTGAAGCTTCTTTAGCTTATCCTGTTCACCGATAATTTGAAGAACGGATAAGTTTGCAATTTTATTCGGGATTCGAAACCAGGGATTAATATCATTGAAATTGATCAACGAGTCCCTGAAGAATTTATGATTTGCATAAGTAGCGAAATTAGTAACACCAACAGATGAAGAGGATGAGCCAGGGGAAGAGAGATGATGTGTCAGCGCATGGAGTCCATGAGCCGCGAGCCTATGGTTCGCGTCGCATGTGAACGACGCGAGCTCATGGAGAACGTACAACAGATGTTGCACGCGGTTCATGTTACCAACAGTAATAGCTGCAGCACAAGGGTTGAGCAAATGCTCTGCCCATCTTCCTTCTTTATTGTTACCGTTATTCGTTGTAGATTTGTTTGTTACTCTCTTGTGTCCTGTTGATTTCTTGATTTCATCGGCTTCATTCATCTGACGGTTCTGATTCTTCCTTGACACCTTTGGATTATGATCAGAGCCTGATGTTTTCCTCTTCTTGGACAGATCCAACGGCTGTGGATGATCCAGAATGATGGGCTCGGGAGGAATTGTGCTAGTTGCTGTATTGACCGGGGAGCTATAGTCGAATGATGTACAAATATCGTTGTCGATGATATCGTGATTAACGATATGTTTATCTTGATTTGGAGGAATCCACCATGAGTCTCCATAGAAATTTAAATCCTCGGGGTAATTAAAAGGTTCGTCGAGGAAGGATGGAACATCGGATAAAGTATCTAGCCAGTCTGAGATGGGGTCGGAATTGGAATTAGGCTCAGGCACGTCAATGGTCATTGTATCAAAAAACCAGGAAGAAGGATGATAGGAGAGACTATTTTGGTGTTTGATCATTGACTAATGCAAATAGAGAAGAGTTTATGATGTGAATATGTTATGTGTTTTTATTAAACACTCAGTTGCTAAAAGAAATGAGACAAAAGGTTTTTTTCTAGCGAAAAGAGACAGAACTGGGCATATTTAAGGGACATACTTGCTGTTATTTTGGAAGTTATGCTGTTGTATTCAGATATTATTTTTAAAGCTGGTTATCTTGTCTCTGATTCGTGCTGTTCTTTGACTTATTTTCTGGCGTGTCACGATTGTTAAAGAGTGCAATGAACAACACAATTGGAGACACTAAATTAGTATTCGGGCCAAATAACCCTGGTATTATGAGAAAAGTTTTAAATATAATCCTTTGTTATACTTTGGGTCCAATGTCAGTGCCACGTAGGATTGGCAAGCCATGTGTCATCCCACCACCACCTTCACCGACTCATTAAATATCAGTGTCACGTAGGATTGGATGTTCACTTTGGACAAACTTAACGGAAAAAGTGTATATTTGGACTCAAAGTATAACGAGTGGTACATTTAAACCTTTTCTGGTAGTACAAGGATGTATTTGGCCCTTTTCCGATTATTATTTATCTTAAGTTTGTGGGATGGTGACAGGTTTTGGGTTAGAAATTTCAGGGGACGGCAAACTCTTCATCATCCTGATTAAATTAGTTTTGTTTTTGTTTGATTATGCCTTCGCCAGGACATTGGGTTAAGCACTTTTTGGCATTTTTTTCAAATCCAAAAATTGACCTCGAAACAACTTTCAATACTTGTCTTTTTTCAAGAAAATAATTATTTTTACGCGCTGATCTGAAACATCCTATTTGTTGGACAAAGATCGACTAATAATACTATCATCAATACCATGAATAAACTCTCTTACAAGTTCTGTACAAATAGACGAAAGTTGTCTTTTGGACAACCTGTGTTGCCAAAGATCGACTAATGATCCTATCATTAACTTACATGTTGACTCAATGTTTGCTTAAAGTTCAATCCAAAGGGTAACATCCCAAAGTTATGATGCTAATTTTAGTCTTTGAAGGTTATCAAAAATATTCTTTGAATTATAAATTTACTTGGTGAATTCACTGCGTCAATAATCTTTTTTCAACAATTAAGTAATCTTTTTTCAACAATTAAGGTGCGGAATGTGCACCTCTTTTATATGTAACCTTATGTAGAGTTTAATGTTGCAGAAAATGTTAAGATAACCAACGAATGATGCTTAGTCTATTCAAACAATGAATCAAAGATTGTGGGGCAACTGTTAGAATTGAGAAATCAAAGCTAATCTCAAGCTGCCATTGTTATGACAGTTGAGCTCAAACGAAGAAGAAGAGAGAACAGTAGAGACTTCTAGAAGAATAATATTTTGGAAAAGAAAAATTAATTTTATTCTTCAGTGTATATCCCATATATACATGTAAGAGAAAGGAAAATCATAATGACAACTACTATTGGCTAATTACAAGAATACCTTTACTTATCTACTCAACTTGTAACTGACTATGAATATAACTATACAACTATATATATAAATACAACTGATGCTCTCAATACCCCCTCAAGTTGGAGGTGAGGAACTCACTGCCAACTTGTTGAGAACAGAGGTATGCTTGATGCTTGTCAAGGCCTTGGTAAGAATGTCTGCTAGCTGAACATCTGTGGAGATGTGATGTAGGGTGATGAGGCCATCATACAACTTGTCGCGAACAAAATGACAATCTACCTCTATATGCTTGGTTCGTTCATGAAACACTGGGTTTCTTGCCATGTGAACTGCAGCTTGACTATCACAGAAGACTGGTATAGGATGTGGGCAAGGTACTGTCAACTCTTCTAGCAAGCGTTTGAGCTAGACTAGTTCTCCAACCACCTTCCTAATTGATCTGTATTCTGCTTCTGCGGAAGAAAGTGAGACTGTTTCCTGCTTCTTGGATTTCCAGCTAATGGGACTCTCCCCCAGTAAGACAAGATATCCACTCACTGATCGTATAGAATCAGGGCATGCAGTCCAGTCTGAATCACAATAGGCTTTTACAGTACAATCTGGATAGTTGGAGAGGAAAATGCCCAAGGATGGATCATTCTTAAGATACCTCAAGACATGGAAAGCAGCCTTAAGGTGTGGCTCTCTAGGTGTTTGCATGAACTGGCTTAAGTGTTGTACACTATAAGCAATATCAAGTCTTGTATTGGTAAGGAAATTGAGCTTCCCAACTAATTTTCTGTAATAAGTAGGGTCTGCCAGTAAGGTTCCCTCTTCTGCCTTCAACTTGAGAGTACAATCTAGAGGAGAAAAGACTGTGGTGTATTGACTGTCATATTCTTTCAATAAATCTGCAGTGAATTTCCTTTGTGAAATGAGAACCCCATTGTTTTTGTAGAACACCTCCCGTCCCAGGAAGTAGTGCAATTTCCCCAGATCCTTGATTTTGAACTGATCATGGAGGAAAGACTTCAGTGCCTTAATTTCTTCTACATCTGTGCCTGTAAGAATCACATCATCGACATAAACAGCCACAAATACAATTGAAAACCCATTCTTTTTATAGAACAAGGAATAATCATTTTCTGAATGTCTGAAACCCCTGGTACATAATGCTGTAGTTAGCTTGTCATACCATTGCCTGCTTGCCTGCTTCAGTCCATATAAGGACTTGTTCAACTTGCAAACCAGGCCAGGAACCTCAATCTGCAGTCCCTGTGGTGCCTCCATGTACACTTCTTCATGTAAATCTCCATGTAGAAATGCGTTGTTTACATCCAATTGAAACAAATCCCAGCCTCTTTTAACTGCTATACTAATCAAGGTCATAACAGTTGTCATCTTGACAACTGGAGAGAATGTTTCATTATAATCTATACCTGCTTGTTGTGTGTATCCTTTTACTACAAGTCTTGCTTTAAATCTCTCAACAGTCCCATCTACTTTGTGTTTGATTTTATACACCCATTTGCATCCTATGGCCTTCTTACCTGCAGGCAGTGTCACTAGGTCCCATGTATGGTAGCATATAAAGCCTCAAACTCTTGTGTCATGGCAGCTTGCCATGCAGGGTTTAAGGCTGCCTCCTCATAAGAAGTTGGTTCAGAATCATGTGAAATATTTCTCATCATATGCTGACTATTGTTATTTAAGGCAGTAAAGCAAATATGTTGATGGTTTAAAGGGGTAAAATTTAGTAAGGCAGTGTGTGAGGTATTATTCTTTAGATTTGGAAGAGAGTACACATATTCATTTAAGTAACTTGGTGTTTTGACTATTCTGGATGGTCTTGTATCACTTCTGGTGTTTAGAGTATTGGTGGAATGGTGGTTTGAAGTGTCTGAAGTGCTGGGTGAAGTCTCAGAAGAATTCATATCAACAGGTGGAGAGTTACCTTGATCTAAAGGTGAGGAAATATTTTGATCATTTGGCGAGAAAGTATTAGTGACAGAACTTGGTGCAATCCTACTTGGTGGCTGACTATTACCCAAAATATCATCTTTATGACCCTCACATGTATGATCAGAGTGAAAAGATGGCAAGAGACAAGGAAAAGAAGTGTGATTGGGAGACACTATAAAAGGGAAAACATGCTCATGGAATTGTACATCCCTGGAAATGTGTATTCTCTTAGTGGCTAAATTCAGCACCTTGTAACCTTTTGTGCCAAAGGGGTAACCCACAAAGACATGGGGCTCAGTTCTAGGTTCAAATTTGTCTTTATGAGTTTTGAGGACAGTGGGGTAACACAAGCATCCAAAGCTTTTAAGGTGTGAATACTTGGGTTTCTTCTTGTAAAGCATTTCAAAGGGTGATTTGTTATTTAGGATTGTAGAGGGTATTCTATTAATCAAGTATGTGGCTGTAAGGATGCATTCACCCCAATATTTGATGGGTAATTTGGATTGGTATAATAGGGCTCTTGCAGTTTCTAGCAAATATCTGTGTTTCCTTTCCACCACACCATTCTGTTGAGGTGTGTATGGGTAGGTTTTCTGGTGTATAATGCCTTTGGAATTGAAGAATGATGAGGTTTCATTGTTGACAAATTCCATTCCATTACCAGACCTCATGGACTTAATGGAAGAACTGAACTAGTTTTTTATCATGTATACAAAATTTTTCAGCACTTGAAGAGTGTTGCTCTTACAGCTTAGAAGATATGTCCATGTGGACCTACTGAAGTCATCAACTATTGTAAGAAAATATTTGTAATTATCATAGGTCACTGTGTGGTATGGTCCCCAGAGATCTATGTGTAAGAGGTCAAAAACCTTTGTGGAAGAAGTAGTTTTCTGAGGGAATGGCAATCTTATTTGTCTGGCCATAGGGCAAATTGAACACAAGAATGGTTGTTTGGGTGCAAAGTTTACAGGTATGGAGGATATTCCCCTCATTTTCACAAAAGGCACATGGCCTAATCTATTATGCCACAAGTAATCAACACATTTTCCATAAGATGAAAAATTGGAAAAGGATGCAGAAGCATTGGTAGAACAAGAAGATGTACAAGACCCTTTCTTATTGCTTGAAGATGAAACATTTACAGATGATGATGGTGAAAGGGGATCAGCAGGATATGTTCCTAAATGGTCATTATTTACAGTGAGTAATGTGTGTGATTGTACATTGTTTGAATTTCCACCAGAAACAGAATTTGAAATGAGAGGAGTAGAGACAGTAGTAGAACCAAGGAACTGACATCTGAGCAGAGGAAGTACAGACCATTCCTTGTCCTACCATAGGTTGCCAATTCTGACCTTAAATCATTTTAAGCCATGAGAACTTTGCATTAATGTGCTTAAAAAGTATTATCTCATTACCCTTTATCATAACAAATATAATGAACTCTGAAGCTTATTTTTAAGACAGTGAAATCAAAATTCATTTTCAAATCACACAACAAGCAATAGGAATGAACTTGAACTAATCAATATGAAAAGCAGAAACCAAATCAACAACTATATCATTTGAAAGAGATGTATTTTTAATCAAAATAATCCAAAACCTTCCAAACTCTGTATGATACAAGGAACTAAATTACATAGGAAATCAAATATGTTGACAATAACATGTCATCGATCTCCAAACAATTATCCTAAATTCTAAGGGACAAAATTTAATCTTTAAAGGCAAAGTGTATTGTCGATACTAAATCAACGTATAATATTGGACATAAACCATATAATAGGTCATGTGTGAAGGGGGCAATTAAATTATNTTCACTGTGCCCTCCTGAAACCATCTCTTCTATCCCTCCATGCACATTTGCAGCAAATGCTACATTTTTCCCTTTAGTGAATTTAAAATCCTGGGGGAATCCGTGCAATTTGTAGCATTTGTCTCTAGTGTGTCCTTGCTTCTTGCAGTAATCACAAAATAGGCGTGCCCTGTTTGATGGATAATTGCCTCTATATGAGTTGTTCCCTATGTTATTTCTCTGCTGAGCATAGTTGGTCCTAAAGCCTGGATTTGCAGGTCCATTGACATTCATTGAGGCAGACTCTATCATCAGATGATTGTTTGGTCTAACTTCCCTTTGCTTTTCTTCTTGGATTAAAATAGAAAAGGCTTGTGCAATCCCGGGCAACGGGTTCATCATCAAAATGCTCCCTCTCACGACTGTATAAACCTCGTTCAATCCCATTAAAAACCTAATTAACCTCCTGTCCTGTTCTGCCTTCTGCATACTTGCCTTGGCACCACAAGTACATTGGCATTTGCATTGAGTATGCACATTTAGAGTGTTTAATTCTTCCCAAATCTTCTTCATTTTCGTATAGTATCCTGTAATGTCTAGGGTTCCCTGACTTAGGTCATTGATTTCCCTTTCAAGCTGGTACAATTTTGCTCCATTCGTCTGATCGTACCTATCCTCCAGTTCCTGCCATAGTTCTTTCGCATCGACTACATATTGCAAACTGTCCGCTAGATCCTTTGAGAGTGAGTTGAGAATCCACGACGTTACCATATCGTCGCACCTCTCCCACTGTTCAAACGTCGGATGGTTGGAATCTGGCTTCTTACACTTTCCATTGATAAAGCCGACCTTATTCTTCACTGAGAGAGCTCTGAGGACGCCTCTTCTCCAAGATCTATAGCCAGTTCCGTCAAATACTACCGACACCAGTGTCGACCCGGCACTTTCTGAAGAATGCATGTACAAAGGATTGGTTGAGTCTAACGTATCCCTGTTTGCATTTGGTAAATCAGTTGAATTCGAAGAATCACCATCTACCGCCATGATATAGGTTGAGATAATTCACAATCTGTGAAATGTGGGTGAAAAATTAAGGTTTCGCGATCCCCGATCTGTGAGTGCTAATCGAGCAGAAATTAATGACAAAAATGATAAACTTGAACGAGAATTGAGCTGTACGTGAGCCTGGGCTCTGATACCATGTTAGAATTGAGAGATCAAAGCTAATCTCAAGCTGTCATTGTTATGGCAGTTGAGCTCAAACGAAGAAGAAGAGAGAACAGTAGAGACTTCTAGAAGAAGAATATTTTGGAAAAGGAAAACTAATTTTATTCTTCAGTGTATATCCCATATATACATGTAAGAGAAAGGAAAATCATAATGACAACTACTATTGGCTAATTACAAGAATACCCTTACTTATCTACTCAACTTGTAACTGACTATGAATATAACTATACAACTATATATATAAATACAACTGATGCTCTCAATAGCAACAACTTGGACATAAACAGAAATAAAAATCTAAACCCTGTAAATTGTCTATTGAAAGGAGCTTAATCTAAAGATGTTACTCCCTCGTAGTAGGATTTTGGGGTAAAAACTTATCCACAACTCCACAATAAGAGTTTATATCAAATGAATAAAATTAATGACTTGTGTTTGCACGTAAACTTCTGTCAGAATATATGTTTTTATGGACTACCTTAGACTTTAGGGATTTGCATTATGTGAACATCCTGAATCGAGTGGAAATTTAGGAAGATGCAGATTAGGGTTCTGTGGAATATTCGAGAAGAAGAAGAAAAGAGACAATGTTTTATGGCTGAAAAGCTAATTAGGCATTGAGCCCTTTTCTATTTATATGTGGTCCGTTTACATACAAGTCTCATTTACAAAAGGAGCCAAAACTAATCAAATTACAACTTTGGCTATGTACAAAATAAAATAATGGCCAGTGGCCGGCCCAAATACTAAGTGTTCCTTATTGGGCCTGAGGCCAAATAGTCAGATAGCCCAACACCCCCCCTTCAAGTTGGACGGGGAGAACACCTTGAACTTGGACAAGAATGAGTGATGGAGCACACCAGTAAGAGGCTTGGTGAAGATGTCTGCAAGTTGATTAGAGGTGGAAACATGAAACAACTGAATCAAGCCATCCGCTAACTTCTTTCTGACAAAATAACAATCCACCTCGATGTGTTTGGTTCACTCATGAAACATCGGATTTCTAGCAATGTGAATTGCAGCCTGGTTGTCACAAAAAATAGAAACAGGATAAGGAACAAGAACAGAAAGGTCAGGAAACAGCCTTGTGAGCCAAGTTAGTTCAGCCACCACTTTGCTGAGTGCCCTATTCAGCCTCAGCTGAGGAGAGGGAAACAACAGGTTGTTTCTTAGATTTCCATGCTACCAAGCAATCACCTAGAAAAACATAAAACTCACAGACAGACTTGCAAATATCAGGGCATGCTGCCCAATCACTATCAGAATAAGCTGTGAAAGTACAATCACGAGAGTTAGAATAGAATAGCCCAACATCAATGGTACCCTTCAAGAACCTCAACATGTGAAAAGCAGCAGTCATATGAGGCAATCTGGGAGCTTGTAAAAACTGACTTAAATGTTGTACACCAAAACATAAATCAGGTCTAGTATGAGTCAAGAAGAGAAGCTTGCCAATTAGACTCATGTACCTTTCAGGATGGGCAAACAACTCACCAGAATCAGCCTTCAACTTGGAATTTAAATCCAAAGGAGAAACAACAGAAGACAGCTCCAAACAGTTATACTCTTTAAGTAAATCCAAAACAAATTTTCTCTGATTTAAGAATACACCATCAGGTGAAGTACTAACCTCAATCCCCAAGAAATAGTGTAAGAGACCCAAATCTTTTTTCTTAAACTCATTATCCAAAAACTTCTTAAGAGTAGAAATTTCAACAAGATTGTTCACTGTCAAGATTATATTATCTACATATACAACAAGAATGACAATATCACAAGAAGACCCTTTGACAAATAGAGAGTAAACATTCAAGGAATGAGTGTACCCTCTTGACCATAAAGCTTGGGATAACTTTGCATACCATTGTTTGGAAGCTTGCCTCAAGCCATAGAGGGATTTCTTTAGCTTGCAAACTAAGGGGGAAGATGAGGAAGAAGAGGAAATGGAAAGACCTTGAGGGAGATTCATGTAAACCTCCTCATGTAGATCACCATGAAGGAAAGCATTATTCACATAAAGCTGAAACATAGACCAACCATGCTTGACAGCAACAACTACAAGACATTTAACAGTGGACAATTTCATAACAGGTGAAAAAGTTTCAGTGAAATCCACTCCTTCCACCTGTGTATCACCCCTAATCACAAGCATTGCATTATATTTCTCTACACTACCATCAGCTCTATACTTGATTTTAGATACCCATTTACACCCTATAGGTTTCTTCCCAGCAGGTAGTTTGTGATGATCCAAAGGGTCATCTTATGTTTTAGAACTCGATGCCATGTACCGAGGTCTTCAAAACCTTATTTTGTTCCTCCTCAGTTTGCGTGCGCAGTCCGGGCGTGTATCTAGAAAGCTTTTATGTGAAAAATTGATGAAATAATAATTTTTGGCCCAAAAAGTTAATTTTTGTTGATTTCGATCGATGTTTTGGGTAAACGGACCCAGACCCATATTCTGATAGTCCCGCTGGGTCCGTACTAAAATATGGGACCCGAGCATATGCCCGGAATCGAATTCTGAGGTCCCTAGCCCGAGAAATGAATTTCTGATGAAAATTGTAAGACTGAAATTATAAAGATTTTAAGAATCTGATTAATATTTGATCTCGTTGATATTGGGTCCGTATTTTGGTTCCGGAGCCCAGTATAGGTTCGTTAAGATATTTATACCTTATATGTGAAATTTGGTGAGAAACGGAACTGATTTGACGCGATTCGGACCTTTGGTTGAGAAAATAGAAGTTTTGAAACTTTCTTGAAAATTTCACGCAATTTTGGTGCTAAATTTGTAGTTCTAGGTGTTATTTTGAAGATTTGATCGCGTGAGCAAGTTTGTATGATGTTTTTAGACTTATGTACATGTTTGGTTTAGAGCCCCGAGGGCTCGGGTGAGTTTTGGATAGGCTACGGGATGCTTTAGACTTAGAAAATCTAGTATTGTGTTGCAGCAGCTTTTCTGATATACCCTTCTTCGCGTTCGCGTAGGTAGCATTGTGAACGCGAAAGGTAAAATGGGGCAGGGGAATTTCCACTCAGCGAATGCGAAGGACTGGTCGCGAATGCGGAGCAGCGGGAGGCTTTACCCTTCGCGAATGCAACCTGTCTATCGCTAACACGAAGAATATGGGACCTGGAGAGGGGGTCATGCTCTTCTACGCGAACGCGATCACCGAGTCGCGAACGCGAAGGCCAGGGGGAGAGTTTCCTAACGCGAATACATAGATAGGCTCGCAAACGCATACATAGGTTCGCGAACGCGAAGGCCTTAGGTCGGTGTGCATCGCGATCGCGACAGTGCATCGCGATCGCAACAGGTCTCTTGCGAACGCGATGAAGAGCTGTCCAGTGTTTTAAAAACAGACTTCAAAATAGGAATTGTTCAACATTTCATATCTTCTTTACTAGAGCTCGACCTAGGGCGATTCTTTAAGGATGATTTCAACACCAAATCATAGGTTTGTGTTCTTTAACTCACTTCTTTCAATTTCCATCAACACCCATTAAATTTCTAGCCCTAAATCTTGTTCTTTCATGGTAAAATTAGGGATTTCTGGAAGAATTGGGGGTTTTTATAAATTGGGGATTTAGACCTCCATTTGGGGTCAGATTCCGGAACTAATTACATATTTGGGCTCGGGGGTGAATTGGTGAATGGGTTTTTATCCGAACCTCGAGTTTTGACAAAGCGGGTCCGGGGTCGGTTATTGACTTTTTGGGGGAAATGTTGGGAAACTTATAATTATGCATTGAAATTGATTTCTTTAGCACTAATTGATGTTATTAAGTTAATTATGACTAGATACGAGTGGATTGGTGGTGGAATCTAGAGGAAATGCGGTAATTGAGCGTTGAGTTGGCCGTTGGATTGAGGTAAGTGTTGTGTCTAACTTTGACTTGAGGGATTAGGAATCCCCGACTTAATTGCTATATGAAAATCTATGTGTGTGGCGTATAGGCGAGGTGACGAGTACCTATGCGCCGCCACATTATCTGTTTAGCCTGTTTCTTTCTCTGTTCCTAATATATTGTCTTCGTGTCTTAACTGCTAAATGCTTATTGGTGCTTCCATGTTTTATTGTTTCTTGTTAGATGTTGTTTTCTTTATTGAAGGTATTAATTATTCTGTAGTTTCATTGTATAACATTATTGGTTTAAGTTGGTATATTTTGGTTGGTCTCGCTATGTAGTATTAGTTGGGTGAAGTTTCATAATTGTATAGCCTTTTGTTTGCTTTGGTTTGAGGCTTAAATATTGTGGAGGGTTTTGAGCCAAATTGTGAAATTTCTATTCTTATTGTGTGATTGGTACTGATATGGTGGGATCGGGTTGCACGCCGCAACAGGAGTAATAAGGGTGATATATTGAGGATGAATAAGGGTGAAATGTGATTGTCTGGTGGCATCAGGTTGTGCGCCGCAACAGGAGGAATAAGGGTAATATATTGAGGAGTAATAAGGGTGGACTGTTATTGTATGGTGGGATCGGGTTGCACGCCGCAACAGGAGGAATAAAGGTGGATTGATAGGGAATAATAAGGGTGAATGTTCATATTGCTACTGTTTATATGGTGGGATTGGGATGCGCGCCGCAATAGTTTATTGTTTATGCATCCTTCTTCTGTTGTGAATTTATTCCGTAATTTTCTATCTCACCTAAGGATTGGTTATAGCTGAGTACTGACAAGATATTTGAGTTCCGTATCTATTTTTGCTTCAATTAACTGTTTCAATTTGTCCTGTATTCCCTTTTTGCTTTATTATATACCGTATGCAGGTTATATTGTAAATGCCCCGTCGTAGCCTCGTTACTATCTCGTCGATGTTAGGCTCGGCACTTACTAGTACATGGTGTCGGTTGTACTGATACTGCACTCTGCAGTTTCTGTGCTGATTTTGGAGCTGGTTATGGCTGATCGAGAGGTTAGTTGTAGACATTTCATCTAGGAGACCCAAGGTAGTCCTGCTAGCGTTCGCTGGCCCTGGCGTCCCCTCCTATGTTCTACATTCCTGTTTTCTTTTCTTTCGAAACATATGTAATTTCTTTCAGACTAATGTTTGTAGATATTCATAGTTTCTTCGTGGATTGTGACAACAGTTTCTGGGTGGTAACAATTTCGGTATTGTTAATAGTATACAAATAACCGGTTAATTATGTACCTCCGTATTTATTTCAACTTGATTTAGCTTTGTTAATTTTAATCAATAAAATGAAAGGAAAAAGGTGAATAAAACTCTAACGTTGGCTTGCTTAGCGAGTGCGATGTTAAGCGCCATCACGGTCCCGATGGTGGGAATTTCGGGTCATGATAAGTTGGTATCAAAGCATTAGGTGCCTAGGTCTTACAATTCACGGACAAGCTTAGTAGAGTTTGAGAGATCGGTTCGGAGACGTCTGTGCTTATCCCCAGAGGCTACAGAGTTTAGGAACAATTTCACTTCTATTCTTCTCTATCGTGCGATTTGACCTCTCAATGCTAATTGAACTCTCTATTCTTGTTCCTTTGCAGATGGCGAGAACACGTACCGCTTCATCAGCTGATCAGCAGCCCGAGCCCCCAGTGGCAGCTCCTACGAGGGGCAGAGGACGGGGCCGAGGGCGCGCCAGAGGCCGAGGCAGGGGCAGGCCTTAGCCTAGAGCTCGAGCAGCAGCACCAGCAGCGGAGTCTCAGGTAGAGTTTGATGAGGAGGCTCCGGCCCAGACCGTTCCAACATGGCCAGCTCAGGTTCCAAAGGGGTTCATCGCTACCCCGGTACTTCAGGATTCTTTAGTCCGTCTAGTGGGCCTTATGGAGAGTGCTACTCAGGCCGGCACATTCCCTGTAGCACCAGCCATCTCTCGGGCTGGGGGAGGAGCACAAACTCCCGCTACTCACACTTCGGAGCAGATGGCTCTCCAGTTTCAGACTCCAGCAGCTCAGCCAGTTGGGGTAGTTCCACCGGGTGTTGCAGCACAGACCGACGATGGATCAGCTATGTCTTCTGAGGCTTTGTATAGATTGGATAGGTTTACCAAGCTTTTTACCACTACCTATGGCGGTACATCTTCAGAGGATCCCAGAATAATTTGGACAGTTGTCACGAGTTATTACGGAACATGGGGATAATGGAGACCAATGGGGTCGACTTCGCTACCTTTCATTTGTCAAGTTCCGCCAAGAAATGGTGGATGGATTTTTGTTTGGATAGACCAGCTGGGTCGCCAGCTCTTACTTGGGACCAGTTCTCTCAGCTATTTCTGGGGAAGTATCTTTCTATTATTTAGAGAAAGAACTATCGGAGGCAGTTCGAGCGCCTTCAGCAGGGTTTTATGACTGTCACTCAGTAAGAGACTAGATTTGTTGATTTGGCCCGTCATGCTCTTCTTATACTTCCTACCGAGGGAGAGAGGGTGAGGAGATTTATTGAGGAACTAGCTCAGCCTATCAGATTGCAGATGGCTAAGGAGACATGGAGTGAGATTTCTTTCCAAGATGCAGCCAATGTGGCTAGACGAGTTGAGATGGTTTTAGCTTAGGGGAGTGGTCAGGGGTCTGACAAGAGGCCTCGTCACTCCGGTGGATTCAGTGGGACCTCATCTGGAGGTCGAGGTACTTTGGGTAGAGGCCATCCTCCCAAGGCATTTCATTTAGCATTTCAGACATCCCATGGAGCTTCAGGGGGTCGTGGTCCTTATGTACTTCCTTCAGCGAAGCCAGCTTATAGTGCACCACCACCTCCTATCAGAGCACCTCCTCTTCACAGTTATTATCGCAGTCATTTGACTCGTCAGGATCAGTCTCAGCTTCCTCAGCCGCAGTATCAGGATAGATGTTTCGAGTGTGGTGAGTATGGGAATATCCGGAGGACCTGTCCGAGAGTAGTGGGTGTTCAGTCACAGCAGTAGGGTTCTCGTGCCATGATCCCGGCACCGGCTGCCCAGCCAGCTAGAGGTAGGGGTCAGGGAGCCAGAGGTAGAGGTTAGCCCGCTAGGTCAGGCTGCTAGAGGTGGAGGCCAGCCAGCAGGAGGTCGTCCAGGGATATGGTTCAGAGTGGTAGGGTCGTCCCAGATGTTATGCTTTCCCAGCCAAGCCTGAGGCTGAGTCGTCTGATACTGTTATCACAGGTATTGTTTCGGTTTTCAGTAGAGATGCTTCATTTCTATTTGATC